CTGAGCTGGCTGGCGCAGTTCGCTGAGCGCACCGAGGCTCTCGACAACGTGCTGAAATACCTCAAGAAACACCAGAGGGAAGAAATAAGGGAGCTTCTGTGCACTTCGATGGAGGATTATACTCCGTCTGACGTGAACCTTGAGGACTTTTTCCTGAATGGGCAGTATGAATGTGAGGCTGCAAGGAAAGCAGACGTACCACAGTGGGTACGTGATGCTTTGGCAAAAGGTAAGCTGGCCCCGTTCGTCAGCGATGCCCTCATACTACGAAGTACCTTCCTGCATGTTCAGGTGGAGAACATGCAGAGGCCTAGCGCACACAGCACCGCTTTGCCCATTCGACAAGTTATCTATGGACTGCTGCTCAAAGTATCTCAAAACACTGAAGCTGTTTCTCCAAGTAAGCAGACCAGTGAGCTGCCAGTTGTACGTGAATTTGACAGACTCCAAAAGACACTTAAAAAAACATTCGTTCAAGCAGCAAGCCTACCCACAGATTTTTGTGATGGTCATTGTCCTTTGGACAAGTTAACGGAGGTAAATGGTTGTCACAACAGATGACAGTTAACTGTTTCACGAGTGCCAAAAATTAGATGGGACTCATGTTTGCCAGCTGGTCACTAAATGTGATGCCTGAACTAAGCCACCTCAGTAAGTAACTACTTAATGAAGAGGTACCTACGGGGCTCTCAGCTTGGCCTGTAATACTTGGGAAGCTACACAGATTGCCTTTATCTTATTTCCTTCCATCTCCTCCCCCCCCTCAAGTGTACCAAGGCAAACTTTGTAAAAAGCTGTTTGTGTTCATACGTAAGTTTTCCATTCTAAGCCCTTCTTTCATCCTATGTAGTCTGTTACACTAATGCTTGCTTCTACAATTGCAGGAAGTAAGTCAGTTTCATGAAATTTAGTGCAATATAACACTACAAAACAATTTATATATGATCAAGCTATGTATGTTTCAGAGCAATGTTCTAAAACAAAATCTGACCCATGCTTTTTTAGTAAAAATCACCATTGTTTCACGTATGAGTCTTGTAGCTGCCCAGCAATTTTACCTGCTGCAAGTGTGCATCCTGCTCACGTGAGCCCCTGCTGCTCGCCAGACAGAACACCTGAAAAACAACTCGTAATCAAAGGAAAGTTGCACTAGGTTAGTTTCAGACACCATTAGCAATGTTGTGTGTTTAAATTCTAATGATTAAGGCTGTAACTCTTGCTGTTAATGGAAAATAATCTCCCCTTCCCAGAGTTGCATAACTGAGGTTTTGTATGCAGTAATTTGTGAAACATCTGGAAATACAGTCTGTGTCTTTTTAATACTGCATTATTGAAGCCACATGCTCTATCCATTTTGGCATTCAGATCAACTGCTAATACATCTCTGTGTGTGGGCTGTGTGGTATGTTTTTACCAGTTGCTGGTGCTATTTCATGTGAGAACCAAGTCTATCGCTACTACAGCCATTAAATGCTACGGATAGCTGCGGATCCAAAGGCCTACATACAGGTTATTTTGCACAGGTTATTGTTACAGGCCTTTTAAACAACCAATATGCAAACACTTAAGAGTCTGAAAATAATGTTTTGGGATTTTAAGAAATATTAATGTCACCTTAATTTGGTTTTGGGATGTATGCTGTTTGTTTCGTGGATTTGAGCTACTGCTGTTATAACAACTCTTCTTTCTAAATATATGGGTATTATCAGTTCAATAGAAGGTTAGAAAAAGAAAAGTTATTCTGCATTTAAAGTGCAGGGAAAAGTGATTTCAATTTGTCTTCTACTGTGGGGATGTCTGCCTAAGAACAGGCAAAACCTGCCAGGCTTCACAAAGCACTCACATGGTGAACAGCCTGCTGCAATTCTGCATGCGTGAAGTTACAGACAATGTTTATAACACCACTGTTTAGAAGGTGAAAAACACAACCAAGAGGGAACATGTGCAGGAATTAATACGCTGCAGGTGAAAAAATGCACGCTTCACATTTAAGATTTCATTGTGATTACAGGTAAGCATGTTTTCAACATACCAAGAAGACATCACCATTACATCTCACAAAGCAGGGGTAACTTCTAAGAGTTCTATGAATTTTTTTTTGCCATACGAAAGTAATTTTAATGCATTATGGTTACAAGATTTTTCCAAGCAAGTCTGCTTTTACATAGGTATTTAAAGTAATCTGATTTGAAGATGACTCAGAAACCTCTTAAAATCTAACCTCAGGCAATTGTAAAAAATGGCTTTTATCCTTCTACCTAACATTTAACTGTGGACTTTTTAAAGCTTAAGTAGTATTTAAAAAATATTTCCTGTTCAGAATATCTATGAAGCGTAAATAATTTTTTATCAAAAACATTAAGTACTAGCTAGTTTAAGCATAAGCGTATTTGCCTTTCGGAAGTTGCTCACAGCAAATAAAGTCTCTTACCTTTACTTTTCCACACCACTTTTTAATTCTATTTTCAGATGCCCATGTCACGCCGTCAGATGCTTTTGCTGGAGACTCTAGGAGTGAAAATGAGTTTCCTAGAATCTATCCCCAGTCACTTACAACTCCCTGTTGCAGTAACGTGTTACTGGATACGTTGTTCAGAACCAAAAGTTAAATTGCATCAACTAAAGGCTTTACTTCTAGTGATAGTAGCTGGAGAACTGCACAGGATAACAAACGATCCAGGTATGTCTCCAAAGAATACAATTTTAGGTGTTCAGCTACATGAGAATCTATACCATAATTGATTTTTCCTCATTTATGGCAAGTTGTCCAAATTCAGATGAATTAGCATTGATTTATGCGAGATCCTGAGGTATCACATTCTTTGCGTTGATATACAGCAGAAAAATACTGCTAGCCATAAGTTTAACATATTATATAGGTAAAACAGTACTTTGCCATCTTGTAAAATATTAAGTTGCATTTATAAATACTTTATAACTAAAAGATTAATTTAGATATAAAAGTTAAAAAAGCTTAACATACTCATGCATTACAAGAGAATAACTACCACTGATGCATTCCAATATTTTTTTTCCATTGTGAGTTTTTCTAAAATTATCTGTACTTAAAAATGCTTAATTGCACAGACACCCTTTATCTGCCTGTGCGTTGCAAGAATTTGAAAGTACTAAATTATCACAGGTATAAATATTACAGAAAATTTCCATTACAGTTGTGGTGGCATTTCCTCTAGGAGTCTTTCAATTGATGGCAAAGATTTTGCATACCAGTGTTATACAGTTACTTTAGGTACTAGTTTATAGAAACTGGACTGATGTGGTTGCCACCTACTTCCCAAGTGGGTGGGAGTGAGATGGAAGCCTTGTTTGGAATCAGTCCGCTCACAGAACAGCATAGCAAATCATCTAACAAATAGAATTCCTGGTTTCACAATTTCAGATTCTCATGGATATTTGTATTTGAATTTTTACTTAATTTTATGTTCTAAAGTTCAGTGTCAAGCATTTTAAAACATTATGAATGCTTCCTGAAATAGAACTGGAGGTTTGAAGACCCTATACATTGCAGATACTTTTTGTACTGTTCACAACAGAACATTTACTTGCATGTCTCTATTTATAACCTAGATCCCACAGTTTTACATACTGAAGATGACGGTATTGCATATAATGAATTTCTAAAATGGAAGGAAAAGAAATTGCAAAGTAAAGACTTTGATTTAGATGCTGCACACAGTTTTTGCCAGTGGCAGTGCTGTCTTCAGATGGGATTCTATCTCAATCAGCTACTTTGCGCTCCTCTCTCTGAGCCAGACCTCAGTAGGTAAGGATGTTTCATAGATGTGCTTTCCACACAAGCCCCAGATGGAACGTGTTCACATGTTGTTTTATTTTGTGTGTCAAATTCCTTTGGCCAATTTTACTACCTTTGAACTCCCTTCTTTAAACAAGATATTAACATGGAGAAAAATACTGAGTAGAATAGGTATCCCTGAGGAGCTCACTGTTGGATACTATATGCAGTACGGTCTGTTTTTTTTTCATTAAGCAGCATGTTTCTGTACCTGTCCTGCTGAGGTGCGATTTTAACTGAGGATTCTCTCCTTCCTTTGAGCAGGCTTTACAGTGGGACCCTTGTGCACAGACTGTATCAAGAGCTTAAATCAACACCTTCAGTGGAAAATCTGTTTAGCTTATCTCCAAAAATGACTCAGCTGTATCAGGTTATGTTAAATACAGTGGAGTCAATTGTATCTCCGGACTTCTTTCAGAAGATGACCAAGACCAAATCCGAGTCCTGCAAAAAGAAAGCATCTAATAAGAAAAAAAAGGCTATCAGGTGCACTATATCAGAAACTCAGCATTTAGGCAACGTTAATAGGTTTGCATCACTTGCAGTGGATGACTGAAAGCATTATTCCTGGACTAACTTTTAATGCCATGCAGATGGAAGAAATTATATTAAAATACATGACTGTATTAGAATTTGCTCAGCTGCTTCCACACAAGTTCCTGATTCAATCTTTACCAACAATTCTTGCTTCCAGGATTTTTTTTTTTTACTTTTTTTGTAATGAACACACTTACAAAAGAGGTGCTCTATTGTGGTATTTTGTTTTTCTCTAAAGGTCTCAGTCTAACTGAAAATGAGAGCTAAGTTGTTAAGCATTGCAGAGCTGGGCTATTTTAAGGGAATTCTTTTCCTGAAGATTTATAGTTGGCTATCCCTCCATCTCCCTGAACACTTCTAATTTTTTTAAAAATCTGATTTTTAAGTTTGTGTTTGAGGAACACAGTGATTACAATCTTACAACAGATTAAAATGGAAAGTGACAACTTTAATAATACTGTAGAATCAGGTCTTTACAGGTAGAGCATTTGTGCTTTTGGGGAGCACTAGCTTTACTCAGTGACAACCGAGTACGTTGTGCTTGCAGTATTATAGGTATGAACTATGCTCAGGGAGAAACTTCAGCCTTTATCCCCCCCCCACCCTTGGTATGTTTAAGTAAGAGTTGTATGTTTAAGTAACAGTTCAACACTTATGTGCACACACAAAGCTATCACATGGTAGCTAGTTTCAGAAGGTTTGCTAATTCAAAGTAACATGTACAATCTTCTGCCATTAACTGTTGTCGTTTGAGTTAACCTTTTTTCTCAAATGGCTGTACTAAAATTACAGACCTGTTTAACTTGCCCTGATGTACACTAAGTTACTTGACAAACCCTTGCTGTCAACATGGTAACGCTGAAAAACAGTTTATATTTTTTAAAATCCTACATCATCAGTATTTCTCAATGCTTTGTATTAACTAACTTTCCAGCAAAATTAGTAAGTTTACATCAATGCTTTTCTTATTAAATTGTTGGTTTTCCAGTGTCTTCCCTATGTGAAATCTAATTACATTTCTGTTTTTTTCTCTTCAAGAATCTATACGTTTCTTTCATACAGGAAAATAATGATTTTCACTTTTAATCATTAACATTTTGCCCATTACTTACCAGAATTCAAGCTTGATTCCTGTGTCATTGCGTGCTCAATTTTCAGTCTTGGTTGTGTCCCCTATCTGACAGCTATCCATGCAGAAGTAACTCTCTAGATATTATGATACAGCTAAGTCTTGATACTGCCATAATACATTCAATCAGAAAAGAACAGATTTATAACATCTGTTACGTTCATGAGGAAACTATTTCTGAGACAGTCTTGCATTTTTTCCAGTATGAAAACTGCTGAACTACCAGCAGATGGCACCGAAGTGCAACCATACAGCAAGTTATTGGAACTTCACAACCCATTTCTGAAGTCTTCTATTTGCAGTAGACTACAAAAATCACATTTCCATGAGATAGCTTTTTTCTTTAAAGTTGAAAGGGGTTAAATTTAACTAGTTCTTGATTTTATTAACTAAAACTTAAATCCTTAATCATCCTCTCATCCATTATGATCCCATGTGTTTCATTTTACCAAGCCTGTAGTAAGCCATATGGTTCTTAATCATTAGAAATAGTCACATTTAAATTAAGTCTTAAATATAAAAATACAGGCATGGTTGACTGTACTTTGTTAGTGCTGTGAGAAGAGAGATCTTCATTTACTCTGAATCTCATATTGGAAAACTGCTGGAGAACATAAATTCTCAAGATTTGCTGAGAAGCAGTATCTTCAATTAGTTCAGAAAACTGGGATAAACTCAAATATTCCACTTTCAGATAAAAACGCTGCTTTGATCATATGGCATTTTGAGAATACCTTTGGGAGTGCCGAGTTGATGATTGAGAATTACTCTCCTGGAAACATGTTCTCAATGCTGAATTCAGCTGTTCTTTGTTGTTGATAAAATGCATTGTGAACACCAACCCTGTATGCTGCAGAAAATAATTACTGATTCTAGGGTTACTATGCAGAATTTAAATCAAGTGTTCCAGTGTTCCTTTTTGAGTCATTATAGGTTTTCAATCTTCTTTGTAGGAAAAATAAAAAAAATAAAGGGCCTTATTAAAACTGAAAAGTTCTTTATTTGATGCTTTAGTAAGAGCAACTAAATTCCTTGGCTGCTGCCTATTTTCACCCTACATGAAATGCCTCTTTTCTTTTTTTTTTTTTTTTAAAGATCCCACTATTGATTCAATTGCTCTGGAGAAAAATCTCTCAAGCTTGCTATTAGGTGATAATGATCAAGAGTGGAGCCAAAAAAATGGCAATGGAATTCAGTCCAAACATTTTGTATAAATAAAGGAGACTTGAGCTACATTACTTGCTTGTTACTGTTTCATCTTCCATTGGAAAACACAGCAAAACTTATTTGGCATATTTAAAGTGAATTGCCTTCAATTAAGTTCACTCTGCAAGGTGAAATTGTTCTTAGGAGACTGAAATTATATTTTTTTGTCTAGACTGACATACCTTATTCAGAAAGTGAGACTTGTGTCAGGAAGGGGATACTTCATAAAATTTGTTTAAAGACTAGGCAACAACACTTCCACGCTAAGATGACAAATTGGCATTCATCTGCACTTCTGTACTTATCAGGATTTCTGGGACTCAAGACCATGTGCAGAGCACAAAGCAGTCAAACCCCATAGAAGAAGATCAACCAGTTAAGATTTACTACATAAAAGATACAGTTGCTGTACTTCCTGAAAACCCAAGTTCATTCAAGAGATTCTTCATCAGCAGGCACTGTCAGTTTTTACTATCTGTCTTCACTGAAGAATAGGAAGGATTTCATTAATAAGTGTTCTGAAATTGCATTGAAATACTAACACACTACAACTATACGGAACCACCACAGCCCCGCTTGCCAAATATGGTAATAGTTCAACAGGAGGAACACTGGCAAATCTGTTCAACTTCTGAAAGGCAGAACTGCTGGAAGTAAGAAACTTTTGCTTGAAGACATGAGAGCATTTTCTGTAAGAGGTCATCTTGTTCAGGCCCTGCCAGCTGAGTGGTTCACGTAACATCCTGAAGGAAGAGACAGGGGCCATACACTGCATAATTGTCTAATTGCCTTTACACACTTACATCTCCAGCATTGATAGTCCAGGCAATACGTGCAAATTGAGGGGGCCCAGGGTCAGCCAGAGCAGTGGATGAGTTGCATGTGTAAAGCAGGCTCAATGGTGCACTCACGCCCTGCCTGCACAGTCCTGACCAAGTCTGGGAACGTCCAGAAGGAAAGAGAGAACAATTAAAAGAACTTCTTAGAGAATTCATACAGCACTTCCCAAACTGCCTTGTTTTCCATGAACTCCCCAGATTTTGAGCATGGCACATGGGGCAAGCCACAAAGGTAAGTGCACAAATATCCCAGTGCTTGTTTATGACAATTCCTCATTAACCAACAGGATGACCATTGTGACAGCATAGCCCAGAGCCAGTACCAATGCTAGACTTTCAGGCTATAGTGTGAAAAGATGTGTATCCACATGCTTTCAAGCAAGAGAGATACCATTACATCTTCAACTCCTCCTAGAGATCTTACACATCCTCTTTTCAAGATTCCCTAATGATTATTCCTTGCATTTCCTCAAGGGATGATGAGTCCTACCCTGATGCAAAGACATGACAACAGCTGCAAGTCTATTTTGAGGAAAAACACCATTTCCAATTAGTGTATTAGAGTACTCAAACATTACCATACATTAAAAATCCTTTTAACATATCAATACGAATCTATTATAATGCTTTTCTAGCCAAAAAAAAGTAATTCTGTAGGTTAAAATTTTAAGCTACACTACCAGTCAAAAGTTTATTTTTATGATCAGGGTGAAGAAGGAAGAACGAAAAACAAGCTTCTTTGAAAGAGTGGCAGGGTTTTTTGCCATTAGAGTGAGGATTAGTGCATTCATTTTCTAATTCAATACACTACAAATCATTTCAATCACAGTACTGTGTTATAATAACAAGTGATCTAACAGTCATAAGCTAAAGTAAATAGGTAGGAGACACTAAACAAAGCCTGTATCTAGAATTCTATTAAGCATGCTAGTCTGGTGGAAATGCCAGCTTCTTTTAAAACAAAGAGACAACACACTTTTAAGAAAAGCAAACATTTACTTCAAATTGCAGTATAGGCTTTTCAATCACAGAAAAAGAAAAGAAAAACAGTGATCCAACAGCGGTCACATCCTGTGCAAAAAAAAAACCTCGGGATACAAAAAAAAACCCCTGTAGCACAAGGTACTTGAGCCGCTTACACATTGCAGGATAAAGTAAATAAATACAGTAGCTAGAATATGGCACTCTTGTGACAAACTCTAAACCCAGTGGAATGCCTCTGAAATATTTTTTTATCCTTGTATTAGTAGCAAAGTCCCACCACCATAAAAGTGAAATAGTACAATGTTTTAAATAAAACCAAACTAAAATATTTATATCTAAGAGAAGGATTTTACGCAGTTCTATCTTAAGTGCAGAAAATGGGACTTGGGCTTAGATCTTTAAATTAACCCCCCACACACACAAAATCCCGTTCAATCTCAAAAGTAAATTTATGTTTAAGGAAAAATGTTACCAAAGTTGCATAATTTCATTTGTTACTTCCACAGCTGGAAGTTAAATTCTAAACAGTCTTGAAACATGAACGTTCATCATTAGCCAGTGAAACAAAGGACTTGTCAAAAGCCCTCAGGATTTCTTTATCCTCCAAATAGTTTGCTTTCTCATACATCTTTAGACAGCAATCCCTAAGTTTGCAAACAAAAGAATGCAATATGCATCATACATCAAGAAAAGACGAAGTTGACGAAGAAGAACTTCCATGTTTCTGGATCTTTTCCTTGCTTCTTTCAAACTTCTTTATTATCTCAGTCACTATGCACACAGAGGAAGTGAGTCCGAGAAGAAACAGTAAATCTGAAAAGAGTTAATTAGGCTTTTTAAAATTTGCTGTTTAAAGCTGAGGGCAGACTTACAAACAACAAGACTTGCAAGACTTTCAAATTGTCTCCCAATCTTTGGGTAAGTTCAGAAGAAATGAAGCAAGAATCAATTTTCGCAGGACCAGAAGATTAACAGGCATAGTTTATGCAGAAATCATAAGAACAGGCATGATATTTCAAACTAAGTATTTCATAACTGTATTTTTATTAACACCTATGAAAACTTAGCATTAACTTCATGCTAAAAAATATTAATGTCAAAAGTGACACTACATTGAAAAGAATTATGAAAAAATATGTATTTCATGACAACCATTTATCTTTAAACTCCAGAAAACCACAGAAGTCTTAATGAGGCCAACAGCATTATGTATCTATAGCTTCTTAAAATCCTCAAGTCTATTTATTCTATGACAATGCATTCGATTATTTAATAAAGGATCAAGATTTCTAAATAGGGTGTTTAGAGAAAAAACTTGCTAAATAGTGAGATTAATAGTGCTTTAAAAACTTCAATAGACTCTATGCTTCATTTTTGCCTGCATCAAAATTTGTATTTACAAAGGATACATAAGCATCCAAGAAATTTAAGAATGTACTGATCAGTTGTGTACCATATGTGTTTAAATCATGGTTTGCAAAGAAAACATCTAAAAAGGATTTATTTTATTTTCCTAAAACAAAGTCAGCAGGATTTGTATTCCTGTTTTATGCAAACAGCCAGAAAGCACTCTTACAGAACCATTAGCTAATGCATTTACAAATTAAACCTTAATGTGCAGTTTTGAAAAGGGAACTGTTCTTACCCAAGACACTCAGGCTCTCGGTTTGGAAAACCTTCTGAAGGGGAGGGAAGTAAATGACCAATAACTGCCCCATTATAGATCCAAGGACGGCATAGCAGAACATTTTGTTACTGCAAAGTCCAATCTCAAACACAGATTTTGCCTGTAAAATAAACACCACATTACACTGTACGTGTTATCTTAATTACCTAGACAAAAAAATAATTTGTTACTTCAATGTCTTTTCATCCAGACTTTTAGAAAAATGTAAAAAATTGTCAACCTTTTAGATAATCCAGAACAAGTTCTTGAACAGACTAATTGCATTTTCTCTCTGGTAAAGAGAGTACAAATCTTGCCTTCATAGTCTGAGTTCTCACTTTTCTGCAAGTACAGTGCATTAGAAGGTGCCCTCCGCACTAGAAGGAAGTGTTTTTGTTGCCTCTGACAATCCACATCAGAAAACAGACTGCAAATTAGAGTAAATGTAGTAATGTATACTAGCAACGTACTTTCCTCCAACTAGCAGAAAATTTCAGACTTATTTCCTTAAAACAAAAACACGGATAGAAAGAACATTTTAGAGTTTTTCCTTGGATTATGGATTTAGGGTTACAAAATGAAAAGTTAAGGCCTTCAAGAAGTTTCAGGTTCTAGTAAGGATGCTGAACTGTCAGAATTTTAAGGAAAAAAAAACAACCAGCCAAGTGTACACAGCAATACAAAGGACCATCACACTGCAGCTTTTAATAAAAATTTCCTTGTTCCTGTCAGGATGGAAGCATTACTACCAGCTCCACATCACGTAACACATTAAGGAAACTAATACTTATCTGTAATTTAAAAAAATAATCTTACCTAGTAAATACGTGAAACTCTGAAGCTTAATAGCAGATAGGAAGCAAATCTGCTGGGAAACATTTGAAACACACAGCAAGATTCTTCCTCAAAGTAAATTCTGCTTTTTGTGTAAATACTGTGTAAAATGACAATATGAATCACTTACCTGAGATCTAGAACTCAAAGCATTGAACATATCAAAAAATACAAAACAGGTGAAAGTCATGGTTGTATCTCGAGGTGTTATTACATTGTCTCTTAACTGCCAACAAAAGAAAGTTAAATGGCTTTAGCACGCTTTAAACCCTCCACAACTAAACAAAGCTATTACAATAATTCAAGTTCTACTAGCCAGTAAATGAAAGCAAAAGCAACTTGTTTGCCCCAAGCTGATTTACTAAATCATACAGCAAATATTACACACGTGTAACTTCTAACAATTTGTAATTCCAAGCTGTGATTAAATGAAGCCTTTTGACAAACACCTATGCAAGCACATGGAACACTAAGAATTCTAGGATGCACTACCAAAGTTCAAACAACGTTTTTCTCTACTGGCAAAAGAAAGTCAAATGGCTGTTTTGTAATCGTCTGGCCAGAAGACTTGTACAATTACTTTCTATGGGCCAAGGTTTCCCAAGCAGAACTGGGACCTGGAAAAGTCTGTTAAAATAGAGATTGGGGAATAAAACTGTATTCCTTATTTCAAAATCTTCCTCTCTAATCTGCCATCAGAATAGATTATTCTATTGCAAAAAACAAAACTTGCAACTAAGTTCATACAAATTCCAACTGCCACTATAAGGAAGACTTCTTTTAAACTAGTTTGTTACTGTTTTAAGTTTTGTACTTTTATCATACCTCTCTCCAGAAGACAAACAGTGTTCCACATACAATAATTATTGATGAAACCAGTATTTTAACAATCAGGTTTTTGGTCAGAATGCTGTCCTTCAAATTTCTTGGAGGCTTCCGAATAACATCTTTATCCACAGGCTCCACTCCAAGACTTACAATTAAAAGAATATCTTAGATTTTTATCATCATAATTCATTGCATCTAACTTAAGAACTAGACTTTCCGCATTGAAAGATTTTAATCTTCCCTCTACAGCCTAAGAATAATCTCATTCAAATAAGCATGATACACTTTCAGTAAACTGAGTTTTATGTATTAGTAACAGGCAACATTCTAACACTGCAGTTTGAGAGTTCATAAATACATGATATCAAGACAGATATTAATTTTAAAGGAAGCTGCAATATTAGTTATGCTCCCCATTTCTGTCGCCATGATCAAGCTAGCTAAGAAATTTGCTGCTAGTTCCTTTCCACCTCATCCAACACCATCTATCTGCAGTGAAGAGGGTCAGAGGAAGAACCCAGAAGGAAGCCAGAATCCTGCATGCAAGTGTCATGGGAATATCTGTGGATCTTTGGGTATCCATGCTGCTCTCATAATTATCGTTAGATAAAGTAAACCAAAAGGAATGAACATAGAACTATACTGCAAACATCGTCATTCAAATAAGAAGTTTGCTGTTTCAGAAACGTTTCACTGAAGTTTAACACTCCATAGAGCTTTCTTTATAAGCAACCATTTTCCTTGCTGAAATAAAAGGGCTACGGACCTCTAATGGAATTTAAAGTAATTACTTACCTTTGAGCTGGAGGTCCATCCATAATAATATTGATCCATAAGATCTGCATGGCATTGAGAGGATTAGGAAAGTTCATTAATGTAGCCAGTGAGATTAAAGTCAGTGCTGCTATACTCCTGTTGAAAGAATCCATTTTTATAACTGTCAGCATGGAACGTTTCTGAAGATCCACTGATAACTACTTTGTAATCAACACTTCAACTGTTTAAGAGCAGATACAGATTTTGACAACGTGAATCATGACTGACATAAGCCTGACTTGAAAGGTAGAGCATGAACTCATCTAGAATGCTCATCTTCACACCGTCTACATTTAAAACAGTGTTGTTTTGGCAATAAAAGAAGACAGCAAATGTGTGTCTTAGAAACTTCTGAAACTTTACCATAACATTTCAGAGTTAACCACTCACCTTCACCTAGCTGATTTTTTTTACTGCTGAACTGGGTCCTACACTTTTATTGTGCCAGAAGCAGAACTTCTAAACATCGTTTCACAAAACAAACTGCTTCTACACTTTTGATGTAAACACAACCACGCTGTGCACCTGTCACTAGTCTGGCTAATCAGTCAAGGCAAGGTACTACTCAAGCTCCCTAAAAATACCTACACCACCCCTCATTATTAGCAAGATGAGAAGGCCAGGCAGAAGAATGAAAACAGATTAGCTGGTTGCAAGCTTGGTATTAGAAATCTCTCTAAACAAGCATGCACTAATCGCTTTCAGTGCCAGATTAAGTAGTTTCATAACCAGTAAGAAGAGAGCAAGGCTTTTAATAAGTCCAAATTTAGTGCTCTGCTGAACCCTTTTACGCTCTAAAGAGAGACAGAAAAAAAAAAGGTAACTCATTCATCAAAAACCTTAGGCTACCATTCCCAAGGCTGCCAGGCAAGCACACATTCCTAGAATGTCTATGCTTAGTTATTCTTCAGAAGCAGATTTCTAGTCTTCAACCAATGTGGGACACTAGTCATGACTGAAAGTGTACGATATTTCTTACAATTCTTATTCAAGTTTTAAGAGGTTGATGTTTTCTAGGTTTTGGGGTGTTGGGGGTTACTGGTGGGGATTTTTTGTTGTGGTATTTGGTGGGTGTTGTGTGCCTGGTGTGTTGTGTTTGTTTTTTTTTTTTTTAATTTCTGCAGCTGAATTCAACCACTCTGAAATGCCATGAAGGCCTAGAAAAAAGTTCATGAACAAAGTGGTGAAGAGGAAAACCATGTCGCCGAATCCAGATTCATTAAGATAAACTCCCCAAATTTTTGAAACTAAGGCTTAATGAACTCTTGTCTAACATACACATCAGAGTTAGCATAGGGGGAATCCTCATATGCAAGAGGAGGAAGTCTGCTTCACAGAGCTAACTCATTCCACAAACCAGTATATGGATCACAGAAGAAACTAACCTCCGGTTTCCCTGGTTTCCTCCATTTGATTTACATGTTCGGTTAACAAGGGAATGACTATTAACTTCTTTAAACAAGGACCCAATGGTAGCTATGCATTTCTCTCCATTCTCTCAGTTACTGATTTTTCACATCTTAGCAGGAAGAACTGAGACAAAGTTAGATGTCTGTCTATTGCACTATTTCCTGGTTCTTTAAAAATGAAAGAAGCCACCAAATACAAAATACTGAAAATTCAAAAGCATAGCATCCTCAGCATCCTACATGAAATTTACAATGTTCACAGGAATTTATGCAGCATCTGCTTCATGATGCTTTGGTTCATTCACAATGTAGTTAGTCAGAACCTTCTGATATTGTCAACTTTTCAAACTTACGTGCTCAGTTGAAATCTAACAAAATTTTTTATGTTATTATAAATTCCTTTACCCTCTTCAATTGCAGACCTGAAATTAAAAACAAAGATTACATGACTAGACAAACAAGACTACTGCCAAAAAAACTTAAAACAAACCAGAAAAGCTATTACTTTAAGCAGCAACACGAATGTCAAGGAACAAATGGAGCTGAGGTTCTTATAACTTTGGCAGTCTGTTTTTCAACTTGACTAAGAGAATAATCACAACAGTTATTTTTCCGGCTGCTTAACTTTCAAAATGAAATGTCAATAGTAAAATCTAGCCTCCTTGTTCAAGATTCACCCCCGTCCTTGATGAGCCCTTCTGATTCAAGTTAACTAATTTTTTTTTAAAAGCCACAAAACCCACACACACGCTTTTAGAAAACCACAGAAATATAGCATGACTTTAGAAGACCACGTATTCTTACGGTACCAGAATGAAATATGTATAGATCATCTCCTCAAACTGCATCTGCATCTGTCACAACTTGCCTATCACATTATTGTAATTATAGCAGTGAGAAAGCGTTTTCTAATCCCTAAATCAAGTCTACCCTGCTGCAAATAAAATTGATTTCTTTCTTCCATTCCCCCAATAGCCAAAACGAACAATTAATCAGCATTCCTTTTGTAACTTTTAAGACAAAGAGATTAAAGGGGTTGGGGGAAGGATGTAAAGCTATGGAAGCTCACACTTTTTTTTTCCCTTAGTGTTCACTCTATTCATTCTCCTGTTGAGAACCTTCCTGATAAAGTGAGCAAAACTGGATAAAGCATTCCAGCAAAAGCCTCATCAAACCCAAGTAAAGTTAAGTACTACTTGAGGATGTTTTTCCTATGTACTCTTTAGAGCATGTCAAAAGGATTCCCTTCTCTTTTGTTTTTGCACAACAGCACATTGCTGTTAGCTGAATTACTACGGAAGACTTAACTCTCAGATCATCCTCTGTCACACTGCTACCTAGGTACATTTTCTTTAACTGTACTTCTGCATTTCACTTCTTCCCAAGGGCTAAGTGTCCTACTTTCAGACAAACTGAAGTGTTCTGAGATTGATGCATTATTTCAAAATGAAGGCTATCTCGCCAGACAGGCTATCTCAAGCAGTCCAGCTCTTGCCAACACCACTACCTTCAAAAGTCAGATGGATTAAATTCAGAACAAGGTAAGTTTAGCTATGCTCTCTCAAGCGCACTAAGCAAAAAAAAAAATGAAGAAACAAATAGCTGGTTACCAGAAGTTGGCAACTTATCTTCACCTGTGATATTTAAACAGCTTATATTTCTTCCCATTTCTGAAACACTATCACATTTTAAGAGTTGAAAACAAACAGTACTGTGTAAAACTTAAATCTTGAGAGAAATGCTCACTGATTTTCATGTAAGATTTATGCTTCTGAAGTAAGAAATTAAATGAAGGTGAATCCTACTGAAAGCTAACAGACTCACAATTTCACCTCAGTTATGTTTCCAAATATACTACCCACCAGAATTCTACTTGGAGAAGTAGAAATAGAGGTTAGTTTTTATAGCACATACATGCATAACTACTTTTGTTACTTACATCTGATCTATGTACAAGAACAAAGTAGCAAAAGGTCTAAATATGTAAATACATTCTTATATTATTAGTAACATACATAAAAAAGAGCTGGGAACATAATAGTACAAGGGGCAACTAAGCATTTCTGTTTTTTTAAGAGGATAACACAGATCATCACCATAAATATAATTTTCACTTAGCAGAGAACTCATTAACAGCTGCTACCCTTACAAGTTGAGGGAATTTCTTTTGGTTTTAACCCAAGCATCATTTCAGTAAAACTACATAGCATAAGGTATACACATGTACATAAGTGCCACTTACATTATTGTCTGAAAATCATCATCCACGAGAATCATGTCTGCTGCCTCTTTACAAACATCTGTTCCTGTTTGTCCCATTGCTACACCAATATCTGCAGCCTTCAGAGCAACAGCATCATTCACTCCATCTCCTGTCATAGCTACTACTGCACCATTATTTTGCAGGGACTAAAGAAAGGGAAAAGAACTTAAATCAGGGATTGAAATAACCCATCCTATAAAATTATTCTAGATACAAGGCTGGTGTCATCTCCCCCATCCCCTCCCCAATTTCTGATAATTCCACTGTAAAATCCTAAAAAAAACCGCAGTTGTTTTATTCTAATGAATTTTTATGCAAGATTTTAGGTTAGGCTTCAGTTCATATATTCAGACAGCTTAAATTGTAAAGCTAGGGTATATAAAACCTGCTTTTAAGAAAAAGTAAAAAACTCCAGAGACAGAAAGAAGATAACTGAATTTACATGTTAATATTATCAGCCTCTTATAATATATATTCCAACTGTCTCGATGTTTGACTTCCTTCTTATTGCTGCTTTTTTGATTGTTCCAATTGTTACATTCAGTATGTCCCTCTTTGCTATGTTCTTTTGTTAACTTCTGAATGGAAGCATTACCTCAGACATGGCTTGAAATTCATGCCCTTTTATCTTGTTCTGAGAAGCATCAGAAATACGTTTCTTTCAAGTTCCTAGTCAATTCAACTGCTATGTGACACAATCTCCATCAACCTCCAGCTCCCTTCATAAAAGAAAGCATGATGTTGCCTACCAGCAGCTGCCTATCCCTTGTGGGCACTACACATTTTTCTAGGTAATATTTGAAAATACACTTCACTTTCAAACCAAACGCATTTCTGATTTCACCTTGCCATACTGTAGCACGTTATAGTTTAAGTAAAGGCACCACAAACAGTACCCATAGCAACAGTCCAGCATTTGAGCCTCTAGTAAGACATACCTTTATAATTTTCAATTTATGTCGAGGACTGGCTCTGTAAAATACTGCAACCTGTTAAAAGCACAACAAAAAAGCAGTGAAAATTCGAGAAATGTAAAGAATTTCACTGGATTCCATAAAGCTAGAGGATAAAAAATTACTATCAAAGGCCAACTGTACTCTTATTAGCTCTACAGTTGAAGCACCAGTAAGCTGTGTTTTTAATAGAGTGAAATCATTAATTCCAGAGAATATTTCAAGTGTAGTCTGGCAAACAAAGTTGGTGCTACTTATATCAAGATAGAATGTGCAATTTAAAAACCTTCTGAAATTATGAAGCAACTGAGTTATAATGGCCTGCTGCTCACCTTTCTGACTAAATTCATGCAGGCAATTGCCATGCTTATTCTACAACTAATGTCTTTTTCCCTTGTCAACACTAGTGGCAAGCTACTCAGAACATTTCAATTTTACTAGTTTACATAGCATATTATTAATAGATTGAAATTTTAAAGGTTATTAATAAAGATTCTGGCTTAAAAGGAAACATTAATTTTCAGAATTTTTTGCCTCTAGTCTTCTGTAATTTGAAATTTGAGCACTTGGAATTTAGTTTTCTATATCTCCATACTGTTAGCATTCACATCTAATTTTCATTTTTAAGAAGCTGGATAAGAAGTTAGACTTCTTAACAGTCACTTTAGACTATACACAGATATCAATCTTATTGGTTGATTTTAATTAATTCCTAATAAGATTTTAAATAAACACCTAGAAAACTAATTTGGTCTCAGGTCAAACACGCACAAAATAAATTTGTAGTATTTCAGTTACTTCAGTTGGACAGCCCTTAAATATTGCTAAATAAACCAAAAATTACTACTTGCCACACAATTCTTTTTTTCCAGGTTTGCTTTTGAGAGTCACCAAGGAAAGACACAAAGCTGACATGCATGTTTCTTGATAGTAAACATTGGCTTTTGGCTTGCCTTACAGACTCAAGCATCCTGCAGTGTAATTCTGCAGTCTTTTGCAAACAGAGCAGCATTTTGATGCATAAATTTCGCAACGTAGCCAAGCCTGAACCTCAATTGCATTTGATTATTCTCTCACATTTTCAATTTTGACATTGGCTAATACATTTAGTTATTTAATAGCTAAAAAATTATTAAGCAGTAACTTAATAGACACATCCTTCCAAAATTCTCAACCAGTGTTCTCCGATCAATTAAAAATCATTAAAGATATAGACAGCTCCTCTTACGAATTACAAAAGGACGGACTGTCTGACCATGCAAACTGTAAGGTTATACACATGAGCTGAGCTACTCAGAGAAATAAAATGGTCTAACAATACAAAAAGTGATGATGCCCACTGAAAGTGAGAAGTAGCAAAATGAAAGTCACAATATAGGCACTGAAAGGCAAAAAATAAACCGAATCATTAAAACAGACAAAAGTAATAGACTCATTAAACAGATAACTGTGTGAGTTTGGGGAGATAAATTTTCATATGATCATATGCCAAACCAAAAGATACTTGTTTGATCTGGGACAGCTTCCATGTTTCTGCACTAAAAGTCTCTGGTAATTTACTGTATAACTTACAAATAACATAGAATCGTTAGAACATGGTTCTAATAGAAGTATCTCAGAAATTACATCTTAGCTTACCACAGAAAAACAACATTTCTCAATATAAAATATATCCTTTACTGCATTTCAGTAAGTAGTATATCAAAACAAACCTTTGGTGTTATTTGAGAAAGCTGCTGAATATCCAAATCATCTATTTCCTCTCCAGAGATTGCCTGTGAATTTTTGGAATACAATCCTAGTCGACTAGCTAGAAATAAATAATGAAAAAGGTATTATAATAATATAGCCCTTTAAAACATTAAGTATCCAATTTTATTTTTTTAAACCTTCTGTTTCCTGCAACGTTTCAGATTTTAAATGCCTAGAGCAGAACAACTTAACGCGTTATTGATTCTGTATACTGGAGTAAATTATCTGAACTCCTGAGTAACAAACACATGCTACAAAGTCTATTGTGATCTGATATTTATTTCCTTAGGACTTTTTAGGTCTAAAGGTCTATACTTCACAGTGTCAGGTGCCATATAAACACAAGAGCTTAGTCTTCTCCAAAGAATTCACAGTTCAAAAACAACAAGACAGAAAACAAAAAGTGACATGGAGGAGACAAAGAAAAAAAAAAATCCACCTGAGAAAGTACTGCTAGTTCAGGGGTGTACTTTTCATGTGCATATTCAACTTTTTATTCATCATTCTGTAAAGAATTCATATTCTGGCTAAAGTACTTGTACTTTAATGTATTATATTGTAAAAAGAAGTTAAGTAAATATTTGTTAATAGTACTGAAACTTCAAACTTCATTACGGAAAAAAAACTGTACTGGGTAGTATTGAACTGCCATGTCCGTCGCAAATACTCATTGTCACTGGCTATTTTAGTTTCTCCCTGTCGCCATAAGACAGACATCCAAAGCTGAGGGCAGGGAGGGTGGTGTTGGGGGTGTAAGAAGACGAATCGGAAATCAAGCATATGTTATAACAAGATACAGTAAGAAATACATAGTATCAAACAGCAAAAGTCATACATTAACCTAGTTAGAAAAATTTAAGGTGAAACCAAAGTATCACACTTCAGGCTAGGGTGTTGATTTTTTTTTTTTATCCTAATACCCCTGTGCCATATGTTAGCCCAATACACAGAACTCACAAGTGTTAAAGACTTAATACCCACACTTCACAACAATTACCTAGGCCCTACCAAAACAGAAAACAAGTGAAAAAAGGAAAGGAAGCAGACTATTGATACCAATGGCAACTGCAGTCTCCTGTGAATCTCCAGTAATCATTTTTATTGCAACTCCTGATGTGATAAGTGTAGTAACAGCTTCTTTTACACCAGTCCGTGGAGGATCAATTATTCCCACAAGCCCCAAAAAAGTCAATTGTCCTAACTCAGGACCAGAAGCTAAGGCCAGAACTTTTAGGAGACAAAGAAAAAAAAAGTTAGATTTGAAAGTAACATTTACATCAGCATTAATACAACTGTTTTAAAATAATAGGCCAGCATAAAGGAACGGGTGGCAATTGCAATTCTTTTTTTTTAAACCTGGTAGCAATGTCTGTTATCTTGAGTATTCAGAATAGCCTACTTCGCGTACATTCCTTTCTCCTAAAGGGTAGTCTTTTTACCAAACATTCATATTCCAGGTTTTAAAGATAACTTTCCTATTTGTTCTTAGATGAAAGTATTTATGCTTTCACTGTGTGGTAAGAGAACAGCATCTAACTTCACGGTTTCTCTGTACATGCATGGTCTTTTATACAAGAGGATGAAACGGAGGGTCAGTTAATGTATTTTTATTTTATGCTTTGTCTTTTTTCTTTTAGAGGGGCAGATTTCACTGAGTACCTGCTGAATATTTTCTGGGATGTCTTTTACAGAAGAATCTTAATTTAAATATATTTAAGTGACATGAGAGTTGTAAGGGAAAAGCAAATGCACTTTTTTCAAAACATTACCCTAGATTTTTCTGTTTGACAGTGGTCTGAAGCAGACACAAATAACGACTGTCCAAATAAAACAGCACAAAGAGATACTACTCCTAGCATATCCTCTCAGTTTCTAATAATTTGCATCCTAGGAGTTTCCTGAGCCACCCAATACACCTACCTTCAAAACCAAAAGAAGTTAAAAAGCTGTGGGTGAATCTAACAGCCTAGAATTCTCTTTATAGAGGCCAAAGAAAGTCATGTATAATGCTTGCCCCCAGTCACCTCCTATCAATCATTTTTTAAATATAACTGAAAGTTTTTTTCGCAAATCTACACAGCTTGTTAACGTAAAAGGTAATTTTAATGGCACCTTCTGACCTGCCATCAGTTGTGCTAGCCTAACTCACAAAGGTGCCAGGAGCCAAAGTAATAGAAAAATAAACACTCACATTTGGGGGGAAAAAAAAATTAAAAAAAAATCAGACATCTATAACAAGACATGAAAGCTATTAGGTAGCAATGTACTGTTTGCTTATGATCATGTGCAAGAGGTGACACAAACAGCCGTGCCTTTTCTCACCCTTTGCAATTTAATCATCCTATTATACAGGCCTTGGGCAACATCATCTGTTTTTCTGCCCCCCATTTTAAAGAAAAACTAAACAACCCAGCGGCACTTACTGAACGAAAAAATGTCTAGTGTTTTTTTTGGTTGTTCTTGTTGGTTTTGGTTTTTGGTTTTTTTTTTAAAGCAATAAGCAGTGAAAAAAAGGTGGGTTTGAGACACTGAAACAGCCTTACCCCTTAGTCCTGCAGAGCCCATAGATGTCTTCTCTTGCTGGTATTGCTCTCTCTGTTGCTGAACAAGAGGTAGAGTCTGCCCCTTACAGTTATATGATGTACAGTATCTAATGACTTGTTCGTAAGCACCTTTCATAAAGCAAACTTCAGGTTTGTCCTAAAAGGATAAAGAATTGTTGTGTGCACATGTGTGTCTGTATGTATATATGAATACATACACACACAAGCACACATAAGAATGGCATATCTGTACTTTTCTTAAGAGTCTGCAGAACATAACACAGATCAAAGTTACACTTGTAAACCTAAACACCTATTCTTTGAGTATCTCTCTATACAGGGTATGTCAAGAGTGGTAATGTCAGAAGAGCCAAGCTAATAATCAGTACCTCATTTCAGTAGACAACATACACATCAGACAGAGGGTCACAGTTTATAGACTACAGAGGCCATGCAAAGGATAGAAGTTAAACCTACACAGAACATCAGACCTGAAGATCTTTAGCTCATCATCTAACCAGCTGCACAGGTCATTAAATATCACCTGCATCCTTGTACCAAACCTAATGACTCTAGTATTTTCCAGATAGTCATCTAGCCTTGATGGTATCAGGGCACTGAGAATCCACCACCTACCTCGAACACTTAGCTCCACTGCTAGTTCAACACATCCCTTCCCCTCCTCCCTTTTCCATTAAGAATTGCTGCCTCAGCTCAGTTTCCAACACTGATTCTCATCTCCTCTCTGTTAAACTAAAAAGCTCTTTAATATATCTATTTTCTCCCTCTGAAGGTATTTATGCACAGTAGTCAAGTTACCTCAATCTTTCTGGTAGGCTTAACTGATAGAGCTCTCAGTTTCTAAACCCACTGAGTTTTCTTAGCCTTCAAATAAATTATGCTCCCTTTAAAACTGTTACCAATTTTTCAATAATCTTTTAAAAACCTTGTTACCAAAACACAGACATATTAAATGAAAATCATATAGCAATTCCTGCTCATCACTCTCTATATAGACAGGGATAATACAACCATATTATACATATAGACAGGAGGAGTCAAATACTTGTTTCCAAAGCAAAGATTTAACTGTGATACTTGAACACTGTCAGCAAGTCCTTTTTCTGGTCAGAAATACTAGGAAATTTTCCATAAATCCAAGATAAGGTTTGTTGTTGCACATATTATCTATAAGGCTCCAGTCATCAGAGTAGCAGTAACTGTGTCAGTATTTGTAACAAAAACCTTCAGACTGGTCCAAATGAAATATGAATACAAATATATATCAAAGCACCAGAAGATACAAAAAGAGGTTAAAGAAAGGTTTGTATATATATCCAGAATACTGTTGACACCAATAAAATCTGTCAACACTGGGGAACGTGGTGTCTGCATCAAAACCAGAAAATATGTGTTTTCAAACAAAAGAAATTTTACTATTGAACATCAATGCATCTTCTTGCTCTTAATTCATTATGTAACTATGTAGCACTGAAACAGCAGAAAATTGGCAGAATTGCTTTACATGTTGGAGGAGGGAGGAAAAGGACAAAAAAACAGCCGGGTATACATTCAAAGTCTCAGATACCAAAATTCTTAAGGCAATTTCGCAGTATGCCTTTTATGGAAAGAATTTCTTGTGTTTCTTAACCTCCATTTCAGAGCTTGAAACTAAAACTGTGTCTACTATCAAACCATATTCTCAGGACTGTGTGCTACTATCAACTTGACGTAACTTCTGAAGTGGAAAACAAGGATATGAAACAAGGTAGATTACCATTCTACAGAGCCAGTGCATAGGGAAACAGTGACTGAAGTTTACCTGCTGCGTTCTGTGAACACATTTAACAGCCATCCATTTTTGTTCTGAGCTGAAGGGATATTCAGCCTTCCTTATGTAGTCTTCCTGGAGTCCATCTAAACCCATCTTGTATAAAACAGAAGCACCACCACAACGTCAGGACCTTTTCTTTTCAAACAGCTATGCAATTTGTTGACTTGTTGAGACATTAGTTAACAATCATTACTTAGCCAAAATCAGTTTCACTTCCAAAGTTGCTTTTGGGCACACTGTTGCAGCTTAGACAAGCTTCTGACAAACTAGCACTGAAAGATCATAGAAGCTTATTTCAGGCTTCAGCGTAAGTCAGACTGTTTAACACTATATACTATCTTTGATCCAAAGATCTTGAAACACTTTGTAGATTATGACCATCCACAAACACAAGTCGTGCAATGGCTAGCAACCTAAGTCTTGGTTTGACAAAACACATCTATCACCTCAATGTATTTTTTTTTTTCATTTTTAATATCTTGTATGTAATTTCTCTGCTAGAAGGGCCTACAAAATTGTAAAACAAGATTGTGGCAAAGGCTGGAGAAAGCAAGTCACTGATTTTAGTTTGAATGACCCAACCTGAAATGACTTTTTTTGTCCAGTGATCAGAATCACCCAAACATTTAATCTGAAACTAACCATGAAGACTCCAGACAAAATGCATTTCACTTCAAATGCTGTTCTCTCCCCACCCCAATACAACTCACACCATTCCATGCTCTACCCTTAACCAAGTTCAAGAGAAAGTACTGACTACAGAAGATGCAGAAGCAACAGCCTGCCATAAGCTATTCTTAGTACCTACAGAGCTTCACAACTCCTTCACTACCTCCCTTTACAGCAACAGATGTCAGAGTCTCCTGTTGTCAGTTTCTATGGGCTCTTGCCAAAACATCACCACTCTAGTCTTTTCCAGTCAAAGACTGAGGACTTGGAATGAGTCTCAGCAAGAACATAGATACATCTCAGTCCTCAGTTACACAGGGAGAGAGAATGTAATGCATTCTTCTGTCAATGTTTTTGAGTTTATTCACCATCATAGAAAAAAAAAAAAATCAAGCATTAAGATGCTTTGCCACGTTTGTCAGTAGCTGTAATGGGTGCGTTACAGCATTATAAAAAAAACCCAGAACATTTAACCACAGTGTCTACAATTCAAACTACCTGTGCCCCGCACTTAAAGGGCGCTATAAATGCTGCAGTCACCAATATATCAGATATCAACTTCTTACTGCTTTTGGCCAGAACTGGGAAAGAGACAGCAAAATCAATATTCAACAGATAAATTAGCTTATGGCAGGTAAAATGACAGCACTACGTGCAAAAAGATGAAAATAAAGATTTTACTTCAGTTCTAAAGAATTCTCTCTCAAATTTCAGAATGCCCAAAGATTTCCAACAGGTAAGAAACACAGGAGATAACCAGTTGCAATACAAATCTAGAAGACCCAAAGGAGAAGAAAAAAGAAAAACAAAAACCACAACTTATTTCTACACACTTCCCACCTGCCAGGAATCCAAAAAGCACCATCAAGTACACACCTTCATAGCAAGTGCAATTAAAGCTCCCTCTGTTGGCTTCCCCATTAACGTGCCGTTTCTAATCAAAGCATCATTGCACACACAACCAGCCTAAAAAGACAAGAAAGGAAAGAGGAGAAAACAGAACACAAAGTAAATGCCATACAAAGCTCTTGTGCTACATCATCAATTAAAACTCGCTTCTCTGTGCCAAGTTCTTACCTCAACAATTTTGCTAACGGATGCGTTGTTGTAACCATGAATAACTTCACCATCGAGCATCACTTCTCCAAACCTGTTATAACCTACTCCAGTAACCTAGAATACGAACAGCCAAAGACAGTATGCAATGTGAAGTTCACCTGGTTCGTAAACTGTTTTAATCTCAGCTTTTTACTATAAACTACAAAAAAATTAAAAATGGTCATTCATGATGACTGATTTTACTCAGTGTGAATGGATTCTCCTACTCAGCTTTTAACATAGCAGGTACTAGATTAAGGAATAAAAACTCTGAGGGCAAGTGAGTTCAACGAAGTATTAAGAGACTAATTTTTTTTTAAAGTAGCAATTTTGTTCCTTAGCATAAATAAATGCAGTGTATGTTCTTTCCTTACAGTATTAGACATGCTTTCTTTTATTCTTCTTTCTTTTGCTTTCTAATTTTTTCCTCCTATTCATCTTTATCTTGGTTAATAATGCATACCCCCTGCAGGGGAATGGAAGTACAGAGCAGAGTCCTACTTTCATCCAGTAAAAAGAAAAAAAAAAAAAAATCATATTTGAACAGCCTCTCAGCTGAGACCTCAGAGAGGTGTCAAAAACAGTAAAATTGTATTTTTATTGCATAAAAAACAGGCATCCCACTAGGATCCTAAAAAAGTCTTCATGTCTACAGCACTAACAGCTAATACATTTTACAGCCATTTCAAGTTATCTTTCAATTAGGAGAAAGGAGTTGATTTGATCCAGAAGAAACCAAATTGTGCTAGTAGTAAAGAAAACGCAATTACAGTATTTCTATAGAATTCTAAAAATAGAGGAATAAGAACCAGGATATATAAGCAAACACAGGTAAATAACACACAAAGAAAAAAAATGCCAGTATTTATGCTTACTAAAGTCAATGACAAGACCCTCTGTTAACTGTAATGTGGAGGGAAAAAAAACAAAACCCTGATCAAGAAGAGCTTGAGAATTTAAGAACTTGTTAAAAACACTCATGAAACCACATCTAGTTCCACACCTTGCTGCTTTTGCTTCTCTTTTGTGCCTTTACTTCAGTCTTGGCAGCAACTCCCCAACCTCAACAATCACTGTTGTTTCATGTCCTGCTCCTATTTCCAACTCCATTCATTATGAAAAAGCAAGAATGACAGTACATACTCAGTATGAAGGGTTCACACAATAAATTGTCTTTTAGCCAAAAGCTAGATATCCCCATTTTAAATGTTCGTAACATACAATTTTTTTTTATGTACCTGCAAGAGCAAAATAGCCTCAACTTTCTGTACTGAAGAAAAACACAATCTCTTATCTTTGTACCTCAGCATTTGTCTTTTGTTATGACCTACAGCCGTCAAGAGATTTAAGAACTTAAGATATTATACAAAAAATTCTTCTGTAACCAGAGAAAGCTTGGATAACAACTCAAAGGCTGCAATAACAAATGAAATGAAAAACAGAAACAGAAAGCTGGAAGTTGAGGAACAGGAATTTGGTGCAACAAATTTACGCTTTCTTAACTGATGCTTTACCTGCAACATACTCAAGCATGTTTCAGCTGATAGACACAACAAATTAAAACAGAAAATTAAAGTCTAACAGAGTCTCACTACATACCTCAGCATGCTGCCCATCTGAAGTAAAAATATGAGTAACAGTCATTTCATTCTTTGTCAAAGTTCCAGTTTTATCTGAACAAATTACGTTGCAACAACCTGAAATAATCAATTAACATTTGTAAGACAATGCTTCTTTAGAACAATGTGAGAACCAAAGTATTCAAGACAAGCAAATTTCTAGAAATACTGCAGCTGTCTGTGAAAAAAACAAAATGAGATTTAACAAAGAGCCAATTTTCAACTATTAATGAATAGCTGTACAAGGCTCTGCATAAGCTTGTCCAATAAATAAAAAATATTAAAAATCCCAAATTCACTACTTGTCTGAAATGCTTCCATTCACTACGTCTCCTTCATTTTATTCCACTGTATCTCAAACTGCATTACTGAAATCTCAACTGTGACTCCTAATGAGGACGAAAGGTAAGACCCTGCTTTACATCAGTCATCCTTCTTTGTCAGAAAGTGTAACATCTAACACCAGCCACAACACTTTCATCACACAAGTGTGACTTACTACTAAACCTGCAAATTTTAGTAAGATTGAAAAGATTACAGAAATGTGAAATTGGTATATGCCTTTCTAACTTCAGGAAAAGAGTCCTTTCAAAGAGCATTGCAGTATCTGGACTTTTTTGGACATGATAGCAGGAATTGCAAAAGCAACAAAAAACCTTGCAACACTAGTGAAACTCTGCTAGAGGCACTGGAAAAAATATTTCCAATCTTCAAATACAAAAAGAAATTCAAATACAGCAGAATTCTTTAACTTAGCATTTCTATTTATTTTCCACGTCCTGTGCTTTATATGTTTCATGACTGAAATTGCATACAGAATGTTTTTAAGCTTTAATGGCTTTAAATTATTTTAAGTTTTAATATGAATAGCATAACATCCTTAAGGTGCGTTATGATTACAAAGCTTTTGCTAATATTCAAATTTGGATTTGTTTCCAACTGTCAATATCATTCCAGAATTCAGACAAAAAAACTAGTTTAAAAAACATTTTACAAGTCCTATTTAACAAGAACATCTTACAGCAAACACATATAAAGAGTATTCCATACATTCAATCACTCACACAGTTTAGAGTATTGCTAGTGTGGCATGCTATTAAATGACACGCTTTATTTCAGTTAAGTAAAAAAAAAAAACAGTTGAAGAGTCCACAGAGACATACGCTTGAATTCTAAGTGTGTAAAATGCATTCAATTTAGAAACGTTCTAAAGATACCACCACCTTGCTAGCAAGATAAGAATACCTGCTTTATTCTAACCATTAGTCATCAGTATTTGTGTTGATTTCCTAACATTTGTATTAAAATACTATCTCTAAGTTAGTCTAGTCATACCTAAAGTTTCAACAATAGGTAGTTTTTTTACAATAGCCCGTTTCTTCACCATTCTCATCACACCAAGGGCCAGCGTCACTGTTACCACAATCGGGAGTCCTTCAGGGATTGCAGCTACAGCCAAACTGTAATGAAAGTAAATATACAAATCTCGTCTGAGAATGTCATACATCTACATATAGTAATGACACATTTACACTTCAGAGCATTGTTTCTGTAGCTGTCTGTTCACTGAGGTTAAAAGTGAAAAGAAGCAGCTGCCATGTGATTCTAGCTGTATACCATTCATAAGATACATACTGAAGACAGTAACAAAATGTAGTAACTTTGACATTTCTACTCATCATTTTTGCAAAAGTACGAACAAAAGTCGAAGAAAAGGGGGAGAGAAATCAATTGTACATCTGTTTTGCCTACACAAAACACTAATTAGGACTGTGCAAAGCAGGCGAAATTGTGAAAAAATATGTGTACTCAGCAACAAAAAGAGCTGGGAAATGCCACCACTTCAAGTGACCATTGATCCACAGCTGTTACTTCCAGGTCATGATGCAGCAGTAAGCTAAGTGCTGGCGTGGCACAGAAGGTCATTTAAAAAACAAACCAAACCAAAAAACCTCACCTGATAATAGTGTAAACAAGATCATAACAACTCATTAACAATACTCAAAGATGCAGGTCCTAGTGCTTTTCCCTGCCCACTCTCCCCGAAAGGGTAAATCTCCAGAGTCTGATCCTGTCATTTAAAGAAACACTTCTGCCTTAAGCACTGTTCATGTAATTAGCAACTCAGCAACTTTTCTAACAGTACAGAGTTGGAACATCTAAATTTAGTGTTGTTCTCAGCAGACAACACCCTGGGATTAAGTTCCCATAATATGCTAGAAAAATGAGCTAGTGAGCTACATTGTGCAAAGCTTTTGACACTGTCCCGCACTTTTGTCTGATGCTACTTATAAAATTACATTTACTTTATTTACTCAATGACAGAAATTGAAACTGTACAACTCTTATCATCTGTTTGTAGATGTTCCACAAGACACTCAGAAATCACCATACAAAAGCACAGGTTAAAAGACTGACAAGAATATGCTGTATCATTAAAAATAAGTATGAATTTGCTTTTTTACACTACAAAGTCTATTTTAATTTTTAATTACTTATGTGAACTTAAAAGCAGAGTCTGCGTGCAAGCATATTATAACATACATCACTATCTTTCAGACACTTGCTGTAATGCACCATCTACACTAACACCAAAAATCTTACCTCACACCAATTGTGAACATATCAAGGATATGCTTTCCTTGCAACCAGCCGACTAGCATAATGACTCCTATAAAGAAAACAGTAACCAGGATAAATGTAAAACCAACATGTACTGTAGCCTCATGGGGACAAGAACTCAGTCAAACTCAAGCTTATTATTGTGCTACCTATGAAAATCTATTCTTTCTTTCATTATCAAAGGATGATTTCTTTAGTACGGCAAAGGTGAAGAAAGTTTCTACCAGTCCAGTTGCCCCATCATATCAACCAGGAAGTACTCACTTACGCACATCTTGAATTAGAATACAAGACACATTGCAACTTAAAAGGAAGCATTTAGAGGACAAAAAGTTAAGTCAGAAAAGTATGTTTGCAGAAAGACGCAAGTAAACACCCTTATGATGAAAGTTATGTCACATTAGTAGTCTTCAGATGACTAGTGGCATGAATTCCAAGTGATCAATAAAATGAGGAGTCAAAATATTTTAGAAAGAGATCAGGCCTTTGATTTTCCCAAGCCTAGACATTAGTTTCAGTTACATAATAATCTGTAATTGTTTTACATAAATTCTCTTACCTATTATACCAAAGGAATACAAGGAAAGCTGTTTTCCCAAGAGATCCATGCTCTTCTGCAGAGGTGTCTTTGGAGCCTTGACGAATGGTAAACACGCAGCAGTTAACAAGCAAGGGTTAAAAAGCATGAACAGTATCATATATTACTTCAGGTGTGCAAATTTCAAGACACTGTCAGTAAGTAGGATGTAGTTATACCCTATGTTTCTATACATCTACTTTGGGAGGGGAAGGAGGGGGAAAAAAAAAGACGACTGTTCCATTCTTGTGTAGAATTCAGGAAGATTCAAGAACACTTCAATAAAATGAAAAATTTATTAGACATATTCCTTAGATTTGTGATGTCTACAGCAAATCTCATACAAAAAGTCATATCAAGGATTTTATAAAAAATAAACATATAAATCATGCTGACTAAAAGCCACTGCATTTCTTCCAAGACCAAGCAGTTCTTGATAAGAAGAATAAAACTGACTTTTCAAGACAGAGGCATTAGTGTCCTGAAAGACCAATTATCAAAAGGAATGAGAAAGCTGGTATCAAGTTTGATTCACTCTTACCTTCAAAATTTACTTTTTTAATTAGATTACTGTAATAGTTGGTGTAGAATGCTCACATAGGGTTTTTTTTCCCCTTGGTGTTTTGTTTGTTGTTTTTTTTTCCTATTAATAGTTACATTTGTTACAATACAAACTAAATACAATAATAGTATAGCAATAAATAACAGATGATCATATTTTCCTCACATGTGTATTTAAGTGGATTCCACTTTGGTGACTGGACAGGAGTATTCCCTTGCAAAGTGTAGTAAGGCACTGCAGCTAACAACATGAGATCAGTGACCGACTCCTGGCTGATGCATTTAATGCCTTTAGTTGCTCTGTTTTGGCAGATTTCAGAAATGTACATAGCTAGAAAAAAAAGCACTGCCTATACTGTGCCTGATCATGTTCTGACAGCTGCAGATGAACTGTCTCCTTATGATCCTATATTCATCAGCCAGCCAGAGAAGCGGCTAGAAGGCCCTAGATATATAAAGCACTCAAGAATCTGAACTCCCATGTGGATCAGGGTACTGCAATGAAGAAAAACAAAAAAAAAGAAAATCACTGTGGGAGTTTTGTACGCAAGAGTCAAAGGGAGCTTATAAAAGGTTACGGTGGAGATCATGAAGCAGCAGGAGACACACGCATAACCCCAAAGAACACTGCTAATCAAGGAAAAACATAGTCCTGTGCAAGCAGCGCACATATCTGTCATACAAATCCCTTATGCACTAACATTCCACTTGAAAAAAAAAAAAAATACACTTCCACAAATTGCCATGAGATTTGCTCCATTGAACTGGGTCAGAATATTATTTTCGCAGTTAATATTTTTAGGTCAACTATGGATATTTTGTTGCACTGAATTTAATTGCTACTTTCATGTTCAAGAGCTAAGATTTGTTTCACTAGAGGAAAGAAAAATATTAAAAGCAATGTAATTAAGCTTAGCTAAGTTCCTATGTAATGAATTCAAAGTTTTAATGAATGAAATACACACAAAATATACATCTTTGCTTCTAAATATTCATTCTTACCTCTTCTGCTTGCATCATTTTGAAAACCTCTCCAAATTCAGAGTTTTCTCCTGTACCAATAACTATCCCCTAAAAAGAACAAAAAAAAAGCCAATTTAAATATAAAGTTTAATTTTAATGTTAGTGGTTCCTCTTGACAGCTTTGACTGAAATAGTGGGCAAATGTCATTTAGCCTGTTTATAAGATTAATTCTTAGCATAAGGAGGAATCGTTTTTGCTAAAAAACATTTGCTTCTGTGAAACAAACTGCTATTTTGTGCGCTGCTGAAGTATTTGGTAACTCTCAGTAACAAAACTCAAATAGGGTAACACCTATCTAACACTAGCCAAAACTATATTTTCAGTTACAGATTTTGAATGCAGTTCTAGAAACTGCATTTTCTATTCTAGAAAATACCCCATCCTAAACAGAAGAGTTTCACATCACCTGCTCTGATGTGAAATTTGAGCTCTCCTGGCCTTGAATTAGTTTTCCTTTTAAACCAGTGTCTGAAAAAGCACCAATGAGAAAAGCTCTGCAGTATATCACAGTCGAGTCTTCCATATTTCCAGTAAAATTCTATTTCATTTCTATTGTTTTAGAAAACTCAAAATACACGTAATCATTAAAGTACATTTCTCAGTTGACATGTGAACTTCACAATAAGAAATGCCTTAAAATAGTTGAAACACGGAAAATACTCTTCTCTATCAATGATTTTACCTTAGCTTTTCCACATCTGACCAATGTTCCCATGAAAGCAATATTGCTCCTAGAAGTAAGGTCTCCATTGGTTGCTGCTGGCTGAGGAGCTGTAGATTTAGAGCAAGGAGCTGTTTCACCTGTGAGACTGGATTCATCAATAGAAAGGTCCACAGCCTTTGAAAACAAAATACACGGACTACGTAAAAAGCATGACAATCTTTTGTAAGTGGTTGGAAGTGTTAATAGAAGTTCCCTAATTTTGACCCTTAAAATACATCCAATCCATTCATACGGTAAGTAGTCATGTCAGTATCAGTCACATTTTAAGTATCAAAACAACGAGCACTCTTACAGAATATTGCAGCAATGCAACAAGCTCTCACTTTGAAGAGTCAAGAGTTCACTCGTAATTTCATGTTCATGATTTTTTTTCTATAAAACATTCAAGAGGTTGCAACTGTGGTGCATTCTGTCACCAAACAACATAATTAACTGGGAATGCAAGTGCACGCATCTATTACCCTCTCAACTCTTCTTCTGTCCACTTCCTCCTACCATGGTCCATTAAGAACTTGCTAACAAAAGGCTTATTTCACACAATGTCTTTTGTTCACAAAGTCTCTACAGAGAGAACGCTATTCAGGCAACAGTCAAGAAGGCTAGAGAAACAAAAGCTGCCTTTTTTTGGTTTGGTTTTACTTTTGTGGGGTTTTTGGTAGCATGTGGGGACAGTTAGGAAGGAAAAGGTAAAAACTAATTATTCTGTATTAATAAGCTTTATTCTCTTCATCTGTCAGCTTGTGTTCTATAAATACAATCCAAAACAAAATACTTACCAAAATATAAATCGAAGAAAAATGTCTTTCCTCAACTAACATCAACTCTTACGTATTAATCTACTGACTTTAATGACTCTTGAATAGAGCCAAAGCCTGAATCCTAACATCCTGTTAACAAAATTTAAGTAAAGCCACTCTTGGTGACCATATCACTAAATTCCAAGATAACCTTCAAGAAAAACAGTGTTAAAGGGTGCATAACAAAACCCAACTGTCAAAACTCTCTCAAAGGATATCACTTACGAAGCATAAGTAAACATCAGTTACTTTGCACTTGCTACCACCACACTATAGCAGATTACTCCAAGATTCAAGTTGGGTTTTTTCGTGTGTGTGTTTTGGTTTGGGTTGGTTTTGGTTTTGTTGGTTGGTTTGTGTTTGTTCTCAGGTTTTTTTTGAGGGGTGGGAAGGTTAAGTGGCCTGATAATTCTGATGCACTCCAGCTCTAGCTGGACAACAAAATGAACACAGTCTGCTAGATCAAAAATAATTTAGTCAATGTTAAAAGAGGATAGTACCTGTACTAAAGTGCTTTCTGATCAGTCAAATCCCTCTAATTCCTGCTATTCTCTCAAATAGTTACCAGTGTAGTACCTATTTTTAAAAGATGGATGCTGTATCAATAAAGCAAATGGAGAATTTGTCAAAAGCTGCAACGAGTCTTTCAAAGCCATAAAGAATTATTAACTCCAGAAAGTTTTATAGTAATTTTGTGTTTGTGATGTATTCCTCAGACTCTAAGCTGAAACAGGATGAAGATGCCACTTCGCTACCATAAACATTTATCATTACTACCTAAAGGAATTGTATTCAAAGCCTACATTGCTATAGGTATGTTAGTTCTTGATGAAATTCTGGCTTTAGAGAAGATGACCATAAAACTTGATGGACCACTCATTAACGTACAGAAAACTTAGGCCAGAAAAGGTCTTTTGGAAAACAAAATTGCCCCTGCAAGATTAGACCAGGGAAGAAACAACTTCTCACATATATGAAAGGCTTCAGAAAGTAAACCGTGCCTAATTACCATTTCTACAATTTTCTAGGACAGTGTCAATGAGAATATGCTGAAGAGATCTAGCTCTCTATCTGAAAAGATGATCTCCATTTAATTTTTTTAAACTCACCACCCCATAACAACACCCAGTAGAGACAACATGAAAATAAGATGACATGCTCTTATTTTCAAATGATCTGCAAGAGTATTTGAGATAAAGATAGCACAAATTTTCATCTGGTGTAGGGCTACAGACAGCTGAGAAACTTCTAATTCCTTTTCTGCTTTCCTTTGCAAGAGGTCCAAGAGCACTGCTATCACAGCATGCTATAAGCTTATGAGCAAGAAAGTAGACACTGATGCAACAGCAGTTTCATACCAATGCAGTTAATAAGGAAGGAGAAAGTGTTTGCAGTCACAAAAACAAACCCACTCAAGTACTAACTATATTGCAGGGGATAAGAACAGATAATCCAGACAAATTTCTCAAATGCACCACAAATTTGTCTCAGAAACTGGCTCGTTTAGGCCTTGTCTATGAAACGAGCACTGATTAATCCAGTATCAATCATGGAGAGACTGGATATACAGCTCATCATATCCAGAAGACGATAGATAGTCCAGACATAGGGCAACCTGAGGATAACCAATCTGACAGAAAAGTAACATGACATTATTCAACAAAAACAATCAAAATAAGCAAGATGAATATATATACACTCGACTTCATTTTTAGAGAATCTGCAAGTCCTACTACAGTGCTATTGCTTCAACTCAAGAACTTTCAGCAGTGCTAATTTTACAAGTCAAATATTTAGTTAACTAGAAGATAAAACAACACACACCGATGAAAAAGTGTCAGAGAAAAGATTACACTGGCACAGTTTCACAATATTTTTAAGTATCCCATTATCAGAGAACACTGAAACTATGCCCTAAAGATTAATGCAAATGAAGACTCAGCATCACCTGCAACCAGCTGCCAAAATATCTTATAATTCAGACTTAAAACAATCATTTTACTACTTGTTTAACGTTAAGGAAAAAGTACTCAACTAAAATTCTCAAGAATGCATTACTGTATAAAATTGGAAAATTCTTTACCCTCCTGTCCTACAATAAGCAGCGACATATATTGTTAAGAATGCACAATGACATTCAGAACCTAATTATTTCAAAATATCTATCAAAATAGTTGTGAATTCCAAACAAGAACTTACTTACTGCACTTCAGTATTCAGTAGCTATCTTCTCTTTCCCCCCGTCCCACAAAAATAACAGTTATTAAGGTAATATTAGGAATATACCTCAAATAATCGGAGATCAGCCGGGACTCTGTCTCCAACTGACAGGCAGACTGTATCACCTGGGACTAAATCTCTTGCAAGTGTATGTTCCACCCTACCTTCTCGTACACTGTAGGTAAAAACACAAAGAGCAGTAAGAACGGCTTCTTTGGCATTTCGTCTGAGAAAAGCATTCACACTGTTGACTATGCATTGCAATGTTACTAGTTTCAGCAAAATATTATTTTCTAATTTGCTGCTCGTTTCTTAAAAGTTACACAACAGTAACATCATTTGAAGTGTTCAGAAGGGCAACAACATGGAGTAATTTTTAGGCTCATGAAACCATCTTTGAAATGAGCAAACGCAAAGTATGTTCTATGTCAGCATAAGAGCTCAATACAAAGTCGCTAAGTTCAGTAAAAGCTCTTTCATTTACTCATTTCAGATTAAACTCGATATGACTTAATTTAGGACTGAAAGGACAATTACATACCAATGGCATTCTGGAGGCACAAGTTTACTAAGCTCTTCAAGAGATTTTTCTGATCTGTACTCCTGCAGAAGACATTTTAAAAAAATAGAGCAGATATTGTTGTTTAACTCTTGCCTCTTTAAAAAATACTAAGATACATCCACTTCTACTGAAATTTATCTTATTAGTAAAGTTGTATTAAAGTAATATTCCAAACTATCAGATAAGAGATGCCCTTCAACACTGCTGTATTAGACACTTCAAAAAGCAAATATGGTCCAAATACCGAAAAATTTACAGATTTAAGACTTTGCATACATGTATTTCTTCTGAAAGAACAGAAGAGGTCCTTCGCATTTTCCTTCAATATCTTCAGGGCTTTGTAATACTTGCAGTAATGCTTCTCAACTCAGGGATCAGACACATGATTAAGTTCTACAGTTTAACAAGTTTGTACAGAAAATACCGTGTTCATGTTTTTAGCCCCGGGAGAATTAAAGTATCACAACCCACCTCTAACTCAGTAAAGAAACTACACAATTAAGGTAAGCAAAGATACAGACCACAAATATAAAGCAATTTTGGTTTAGCCACATACTGAGTAAAGCTGGGTATGTACAGAATGAAATGGTTTTTATGACTTAGAAAATTACCTTTTTTTGACAATTTTTGGTAAAATTTTTGTACAAAATTGAAGCCAGGACTTATATGAAGTTAAATATTTAAAAGTACTTCAACACCGTTTATTCTGAGTGCTTCTTTACAAGTACTCTTTTATGGCTGAGTGTAATACCCATATAAACGCATAAACGTCAATGTAGTTAAAGCAGGATAAATCATGCAATTTAGGAAAGAAGAGAGACTTGGACGAAAGCACAGAACTCTTTACTCACACAACGCATCAAAGACAACTACTTCAGTCTTATAAATCGAAGAGTTCCCATAAAAGCAATAATCTTATTTGGACAACAGCTGTCTTACCTGAACGAAGGCAACTGTAACAACAATGACTATTGCCTGCAAGAAAACAAAAGCGAGCAAGATAAAGAATTCCAAATGGCCATGAAAGTAAGTGACAATATTTGGTTTTGCTCAGCCACAGTTGCTACTACGCATTAACAATATGATTTGGAAACAAACTTTCTCATGCTCAAAATCACTTGGTATCCTTTGGGTCTGTTATAAAAGTGATATCTTTATCTATTTACATCTGCTCTAGTGACGTCCAAGAACTCAACCACCTGATTTTACTAAAAATAAGATTAATAACTAGATAGCAATTTCAAAGAAAGACTTCGTCTGCTCAGGGTTGAGCAAGAGACAGCAATAGAAGAATTGGTCTCAGTGAAGCATGAGTGGCGTTCTCTGTGAACAGAACAAAGGTTAAAGGAGTGACGTGTTAACTGCTACAAAGCATCACAGATGTGGCTTCATTCAAATAACCACATAACAGAAAGACTAAGAATAAACTGAAGACTAGACATAAGATAGTAAGCTGAAGAACAGCTCTGGAGTCATAAAATATCCCAGCAAGGCGAACAAGATGAGGATGAGACTCAGGAACTCTGCCCAAGACTCCCAAGGAGTGAGACAGGACATCCCAAACAGCCAAGAAGATCCCAGAGATCTCAAAAAAAGTTAAAAAAATGGCTCATTAAGAAAAATCCAAGATAAGTAATAAGGCCTTAATAGCAAGCCTTCATAGTTCCCCGTATCACACACAATTATGGTCACAACACTTTCACAGAAACAACATGGGGCTTGTAAGCACATGATGTGAAAGTGAGCGAATGAATGAAATCTATTACAAGAAATAACAAAGATGATAAAGGATCATCTTCCCCTTCAGTATTCTCTCAAATTGAGTTTTGTTACATTCACTGAATTCATTACTCAAATTGTGACTCTGATTTCTTAGAGAACCATAACACAACATCCATTAATTAAGCATTTAAAGTACATATTGTGACTAGTAAAAAAATAACTAAGATACTACCATTTCGCAAAAGAAAAACTTTCTTGAAGAACTCTTAACAAGGATAAATTCAGTAAATTTGTCTTGTCTGTGATACAGACATGAGCCTCACCAACTGAATATTAGTAAATAACCACATATATGCCATCTTTCCATGGAATATTTTCACCACAGCTACACACGTGTTTCTTTTGGAGGCAATATTATCTTCTACAGTTCATGTCACCTGACACAGCTTTGCATTCCTCACCTCACGTCAGTCTCTCAGCTTGTGTCTACATGCAATGACTTGCATCAAGAAGCCAGTATCCTCAAAATGGAAAAAGGCACGTAATTTTTAATTTTTTTTTTAAACTTTCATCAGTTCTGAGCCCAGATCAAAAAGCTTTACAATACATTTGAATCAGTAGAGCTAAAAAGTTGACAAGAGCTGCTCAATCCAGCATTGCCACCGAAAGAAATATACGTCATTCATCTTCAGCAGCAAATTTGTTTTGTTGCTAAGGCTCTGAGCACAAATATATAGTCACAGAAAAAATTTACTATCACTGAAAATGAAGAAAAACAAATATTCACTAGGTGAAAAAGTGGACATTAATAACAAGACTAAATGGTAGGTTAGTCAGAAGTTACACAAAAACACAACTGATGAACTTTAACCCAACCACACTTTTTCTCCATATTATAAGACACCTCTACCAATGTTCAGGAGGCTGTCACAGATACCTTCTCAGGTGTAGCATAGAATGCAGAAATTAACACTCCCTTACACCAACTGCCCTGTTCTTCTCTCAATGCCTTGCTCAAGAGCGTTAAGAAGTAGACTTAGGAGCACTAACTAAGGAAAAAACATGAAATAATTCAACTTTCAGCCACAACAATTAAATACATTTAATAGTACAATAATTTACCTACATTCAACTTATGAACACAACAGACGATTACAAACACTATACTCAAATTCAAAACTGCATGTTTTTCTTAAAAAAGTCATACAGTTCATCTTCCAAAGAAAACTATTCTTTCTAGAGAAGTAGAGGGGTTCTACAAGCAATCCGTCAGTTACTTTGACTTAATTACAAAAGTAAAACTCAACATAGAGAGTGCAGAGATCAGCCAAGGCAAAAAAAACAGCTAGAACTTGCCTCTGATTATACAGAAATCCTGATTTTCAGTTATCACCTATCACCTCAAAAAGGTCAAAGGGATTATAATTTTCTTCTGTCATTTGTAATGACAAATGTTTAGCAGTACTATATTTGCTCACTAGTTTAGCACCCTATTTAACTGCAAACGTCTACAAAAATTCATTATTTCAGCTTCTATTTTCCTTTTGCTATTTCTAGAGAGTTCAGGTTACAGTTCTATTTCATCTTATAAAAGATTACATCTTTCAAGTAAATTCACAGAAGGCTTATTCAATTCAAAATTAAAGCATAATTTATGAAAAAAATTGCATGGAAGACACCAAAAATTGGTCCTCTGAACAAATGCCTAAAGACAGGCATTTCAACCAATGGAAGAGCAAAGACGTAAGATGCAGCCAGATAACTACTCATTGATGTATTTTGATATGTACTACTGCTGTCAATCAGAAAGAAAAACAACAAATCCAGTCACAAACTTAACAGATTCAGTGACAGCATATAAATCATATTCATTAATTTGAATCAGGTGATCCCATCTCACGTTGGCATTCATGTGATGTTGAAAGTACACGTGGTCATACATTCTGAAGCACTCTCAAAGAAGATAAAATTTTAGTTCCTTACCACAGTGATACTGACGGCATCATCAAACTGATGCATTAAAACACTGATGACTGCAGATGCCAGGAGAAGCATAATAAGGGGATTTTTAAACTGAAATGAAACAGAACAGTAATTCAGCAACACTCTTAACAGAAAGACAATTTCATCTACCCCTCAAAGCACATCTGATTTACTTTTGAAACATATTATTCTATAATTAAAATATTTCTAACCTACCAGTGCAAACAAAATCTGACTTTGTACAGTTCGGATTTTACTTGAGATTTCTTTTTTTAAATATCAAAGACCTTGAATGGAGCATACTCAATATGTAACAGGAAAAAACTGCTTCTTACATTTCTTGATTCACATTTTAAAGACAGAAAGAACAATGTACTGTATTTAAAACACACATAAAGAAGCTTGAAATATATTAAAAATGCCTTTGAGGTAACAGGCTGAGCCCATTCCCAGCAACTCGTCACTATCAAGATAGCAATATATTTCTTAATTTCAATTAATGATTTCTTGTTTTACAAGGTGCAAGTTTTGCTTTGAGATCATATGTTTCCTTCAGATTTCTAAGCTTAAAATAACAAAGGATCTTGCTTCTACATGACAGCTGGTTGCTCACACATAGTCGTTTTTTTAAGAAATGTTACCAAAAAGAACATTTCTACAATTAAAGTGAAGAACATTCTGAAAGCACACATCATAAGCACATTCGAAGCAAATATGTATCTTAATGAATCCTACCTAAAAGACTTGGTTAGCCTTAGCCTGCTTTAGAAGCATTCTGAGGCATCTGACTAATTTGATGCTACACATGGAGGAAAAAAGCATTAATGCCAGAGGATGGCTAGTATGCAATGACATTCCCACTGCTATCATCAGCAGAGTGCTGAATATCTTTTTAGTCTCTTCCAAGAGTTTCTCTAGAATTAACCTTCTATTACTTCAGGGTTTAATCTAGAACTTAACCGCACTGCTGTTCAGACAAGGTGCAGGAAACTGACCAAAATGTTTAACATTACAAAATCATCAGAAAAACCTTCTGTGTGAAAAGTTGCTGTAAATAGCTTGTGTAGCTGCGTGAAGGGGGAGGGTAGAACAAAACAGCAACACTTCCACAACATTTTGAGAAGCTGAACAGGCACACAGATATACATAATAAATCACACCGACAGGAAAGAAATTCACACTTCACTTCTGCCAGTTCTGCTTAACACCAGAATCAAGACTGGCCCCACCCCCACCCTCAGTTCAAAGGCAGTTTTGCTTTTTAAAGTTTCCTTTGTCTATCAAGTTACTCATACTTCATGTTCCATTTAAATGTTTAACAGAGTCTGATGTTAGTGTGATTCATGATCAGGTCTTTGCCTACAGGGAACTTGATTCTGCTTCTCCAGATCTTAAGCTAGACCTGAATGGCACCCTTTGGCTAGTTATGAACATACATCCAAAAACAAATCATGTAATTAGAACATTGGCATGCACCTAAATAAAAGGTTTTTCAGTAGGTAAATTACACATGAACTATAGAAGCTGCAATTTCCTATTCTATCAGAGTTTTGTCACTTTTATTAGAATACATTCACATACACGAAAGCTAAGTGAAGAGCGCAACTACTGACAAGCATTAAAACCAAAAAGCAGAAAGGACGAAAATCTTAACCTGGGAAATATATTTTTTCCACAGTGGTTCATCTTCACTAATATCAAATTCATTCCATCCATGGAACGCCCGTCTATGACAAACTTCACAGTTTTTTAAGCCATTCTGAAGATTAGCCTATGAAAATACACGAAGAATAACAGTCAGCAGCTACACTGATAGGCTGGACTTCAAAACAAATTCCAACACCAAAATATACAGCCTTAGATTATAAAAATTTGGCCGACATCAGAAAGATAAGCTTGGTGGTAATGTTTGTATGACAATAAGTTAACTAACCACTATTTTAAAACTCAATTTGGCAGTACTTAAGAATACTTCAACAAAGAATTCACAGAGCTACAGAAGCGGATGCTGTTTCACATCTCAATGACTGTTGATCTTCCCCGCACAAAACTCTTCAGCAAGCCAAGCTGTGGGCACTGTTCAGACTCTTGAGGATTATGTCAGGAGTTCAGCTACTCAGCCAAATGACACAGCATAGCTTCAAAGTGTTGAGTCATCAGCGACCAACGTTTATCATGGTGTACTCCTCGAGCAGTCAACCATACAGAAAATGAAAAAAGACCATCTATCACAAAAATGAACCCAAATCCAATGGTTCATAAATCTGTCAATGAGTAGCTTTCCTGTTCCTTGACTTGAAATGGAAGCTACCAAAATAAATTAAGGACATTAAGGATTCCTTAGAGAAATGGAAGCAATAGCTATGAAAAACAGAAGAGAGTTTTATAGGAATATTCACTCAAGGAGTTTTATTAACAAAAAGCAATCTTCAAAGCATACAAAAATCTGACCACTTTCAAGTTGAATCTCGTCCCTTCTCCAAAACCCCTTTTTTTTTTAAATGTTAGAGATTAGAGCATTTCAAGTATCAATTTAAAAATCAACATGCTTTCAGAAGCAGACAATAGTTAATATAGAGCTGCATGAGAACACATAGACTTTTTATGACAAGATCTGTCCTTAAGAAATACTAAACTCAGTGTTGGGAAACAGCACTGCACTCTTAGAGATGCAAAAATCACTCACTTGCAGAATGCTTGCAACTTCATCAACTGGCAATTCACTTGCTTTTTTTGAAGACAGTACCGGAATCATTGTCTCATTGTCACCATCAGGGATTTTTTGAAGATGTGCAACCTAAGAAACAAAACCAAAGTCTGAAGGGAACATTAACATTTCATTTCAAACATACACCAGAGTAATGCAGTTTTAATGCCATTAAGAGATAATTTTTGATAACTATTTGCACTTTAAAAAAGAAAAAAATAATCTACAATTCGCCTTATTTTTCATGCAGTGCCATCTGCAATAGTAAAAGAAAACACTGGACATGCAACTGAAGACTAATTTCTGTAATGATGTGTTAAGTGATGACAAAGATCTCAACAGTTAAACATGTTCATAATCCCTTAGCTCACTATCATCAATACCTGGTCAGAAAGTAATCACTCCACATAAATTTCATTCCCTGCCCCCACTTTCTACTTATTAATGAAGGCAGTCTAAGCAGGCCTATTTACATTTTCTTGTACACAAAGAAAGAAGAAAAAACATTAAGAAAACCTCAAATGAGCACAGATGCAAGTGAAGTCATTAAACTTGACTACAATACAAAAGCTTCAAGTCAATGCTATAAAAAGTAATGTTTTCCTGTAATTTTAGGAAGTTAAAATTTTGTTATCGGCAGAACAGAGCAATAGCAGCATTGATCACACAGCTCAGCACTGCTTTGATATTTAATGAAGCTTTAGAGTTTCTGAATTCTTGCTTACTAAATGAGAAGCTTAAGCGATATTCTATCTTCCTCCTCAATGTCTTACTGCACTCACAATTAATATCTCATGCATCTTGCTGCACACACATCCCCTCTCCATTAACTGGAAGACACCTGACATGCAAACATGCAGACCACAGAAATGGTTTTCCCATTATACTTGCACAGAATATGAATAGGCATTTTTACGCTTTTATACAAGACAATACCTATTTTTTTAATCTCCTCTAGGGATGCTGAGAGTTAGAATATCAAGCACTTCAAGATGACAATACATTAAAAAGATTCCAGCATTTTTATGCCCTGAAAAAGGTATGACAATCTTCATTTTCTATACTGCACGCGGTTTGCCATTACTCAAATACAATAGCTGAGACAAATTCAACTTGATATTTGTTCTTCTAGCTGCTTACCTAAATAGACTCCACAAAGACTTCATCCCAGGGGCCCAAGGGAACAATGAACAAAGTTGAAAGTGCTACAGTTGGAATATGCTTTCACTTTCAAGAGAAACCTTTGGAAACTCTCCACACTTACCATGTAGTTCCTAGTGAAACAGTGAACCAACAAGACTTGCTCATTCACTGTAATTTTAAGAAAGCAGGTCTAGAGATTAAGATAAGAAACAAGGTGATATGGAGTGTAGGTTTGAGCTCCTAGGCAGGGGAGATGGCAGACAAAAGAACTGTACCTTAATGTGTTTACTGGTCTCCAAAGAGGAGGAACCCCCTGGACCCCACTCAGCTTTCTGTACCCTGAATCCAGTGGGACTGAGCGACCGGGCTGCCAAAGCAGCTCAGCAAGGACCAAGAATGAAAGCTCAGCTATGCTGCTACACCTCCACTCCAGTTCCCGTATTACATTCCACTAAAAGAGCTTTGTTTTCTTTTTACTATCCTTTTAATGATGCATTTATGCGAAGACCACAATTGGAAAGTATATGGCCAAGTTTTTGGACTATTACAAAACATGTGACTTAAATACACTTTAGCATTGGTTAAGTACTTATCGAAGCCTTAAGTATATATACTGATGTAAGTCTTCTGTAAAAATTATAGTGAATACACATTACTATACGCTACAAATATATACATTTACATAAATTATCTAGCAAGTCATCATTTCCACATACCTTTACATGTTTCAAATTAAACAAGAAATTGAGTCCAAAAATATTTCAGCCATGGTTAAACGAAATAACAGATTTTACTTTCTCAGCATACATATATTTAAAGTATTTTAAAAGAACTATTAGTTTCAACGTCAGAAGAAAAACAAAATCATGAGTACAATTCTGTTCCTAACAAGGGGTCTTTTTATAAACCCCAATGCTAACAAGCCCTTACACTAACAAGGTCACACTATTCTGGATCAGAGGTACAAACATTGATTTCACACTTTATGGCTTCTCACAGAACACAGCATCATAAGACTCCCTCTACAAAAGAGAATTATTATTAAAGCAACTTAAGCTGACCACAATAGCAACAGAATGGCTGGTATTTCAGTTAGGAAGAATACAGACATTGTGACCCTAAGCCTTACAAAATACTAAAACTCATTCATTTCCCTAAAACTTCTTCATGGAAGTGATACATCATCATGACCACTCGGTCTTCCATGACGACAGACAGCCTTTGGTTAAGCGTACCACCACGTTTACCAGCATCCATGAAGCACCTGATGCTCACAAGTTCAGTCCCTGGAAGAACGTTTCATTCAAATTCACCTATTCTGCAATTAAGAATACACTCAGTTACAGCTGCTGTTAAGCCTACACATACAAACCAATATTAAGATAAATCACTTCAATTCTCAGGAAATTGCCACTGAAGATGACTTTTCATTCTTTAAATGGTTATATTTAATTTTCTTTGGATTTTAACTTTACTTCTGTTTCAGTTTTCTTTGACCACACACTTTTTTAAACAAACATTCACCCAGAATTTTGTCAGTCTCCCCTCTTTGATAAAACACCCTACCAAATTACCAGCTCATGTCCTTTTCTTTAAGATTTCCCCGCCTAAGTACTAGCTTTTGATTTTTACTGAAAACAGATATCACATTCATGGTATTAGCTACCAAACACTAGTTCAGGGCTGAAAACCATTAAGCCTAAGTACTGTTTCAATATAAACCCACAAACATGAATTTGACCAAGATGAGTCCACATTCTCAACAAAAATGCCAAGCAACTAAACTTTCCCAGTAAGAGCAGGCAGAAACGAACGGACAGCCACCATAAATTTTTAGTGCTGAAAAAAATCATTTTCCCTCTACCAACTGACAGGGCTGCTAAACACAAATAACAAAACCAAAAAAAGGATATCTGACTGATCATTTCCCTAATACTATCAAGTAGGACTTCAGAAAGTCTAATAACAAGCTTTTTAAGGATATTTTACAAAGCTGAATATCCTTAAACAAAAAACGTTTAAGTAGTCTCAGAGATCAGCCTTTTCCAAATAAATCTTCAACAGCACAGAACTGTGCTACAACAAAGCCTATTTTGACAACTTTTTTGTGAAAGACTCAAAAAGGCATTGATTTTGAATGTGTTTCATGCATATCATCTCCCACTTAAGAATACCATACTGTATGCAGTGAAAAAAATCTACAGAGAAAATATGGTCTAGAATTAGAAAAATAAAGGCTCAGAAGGCCTTTTAATAGCCAGCTCCTTTCTCTAGAGCAAAAACACATAAGACAATTTTGGATGGATCCTCACCTAATTTCTCAAAAATTTCTACAATATGTGTAGATTAAACTATACTTGCAGTTCAGAAAAGAACAGTTTCAAATATCTAACACTTTGCCACCAATTAAATTCAATTGCTTAGCCAGTGTGACACTGATCACTTTTCCCTTCACCCCTACCTCCCAAAATACAGAGTGGGTTACACCAACAGATTTAGGTCAAAAAAAAAAAAAAAAAGAGTTGGAAAAAGTGCTTGCTATCTGCTGAAACACAGTAACTATATTCAAGCAAATAATTTTGCCTTTACTATGCATTACTTCCACAAAGCAAGAGAAAGATTATTCAGTACTGTCAGCAAGCGCTCTACAGTTCTTTGCACTGCTGCCCAGATCCACACACTGGAGATCCAGGCTTCTGCAACAGCTTTTAGCATATTCAACAGAAGCAATCCCCAAAACCACAGTGTTCTATATTAAAGGAGTCAACCCACAAAGTGAGATGTCTTCCCATCCTACACTACAACTAATTTTCAAGCATCTATCAGCTGACACCTTAAAATACTTCAGTACTTTGTTGCAGGTCAAGTTTTTATATGGATAATTGGGCTAAGAAACAATACTGGCCTATGCTGCTGTACCAGACAGGCAGCATGTACATAATCGCTGAAGCTTCTGGAGCTACGACTACAGCTTCTCATTCCCTGCTTACTGCTTACTACCAAGGAACAAAGAAACAGGATACTAACTAACAAAAATAAACAGCTGCCTCATGAAGGACTTTTCTTGGACCACTTCTTATGTACACACCACTATTTCTAGACCAAGAAACATGCATCAATCACATGACCACGGAACTGTGACCAAAGTATGTTTATCAAAATTGATGCAAATTAATCTGGAAGGCTTACACTATGAGAAATTCAGAGTTCCCTTCTGTTTTCTCTAAAGAAAAAAAAAAATATCTATCTAACAGTAATGTGTTACTGTTTCTTCTTCCTCATACACTACAAAACTCTGCCTACCCTTTCTACCCTGACCGATATCAAGTATCAACAACTTATTTCTACCGTTCTGTTTCTCAGCTTAGCAAGAACAGTCCATTATCAGTTAGCAGGGTGCACTGACTTTTACAATCATTTTATTTAAGGGGAAATTTTAGCTCTACTTCCTCAGAGAAAGCAAATGGCAGGACCTACATTCGCTGAGAGTGGTCTAAAAATTTAGAACATTCTCATAGCAAAAACTATCTTTAGACAAACTTGTTGCCAAAATGTTTTGGCTAATTAGCTAATATTAAGTCTCGTAAATGTTACATGCAGTTACTCAACTGACCTGCAAGTGCAAAATACAAAGGTGGTATAAAAAAAAAAAAAAACACCGTTGAGAACAGTGGAAGTGAAAAAAAAAAAAATGTTTAAAAAAACAATGAAAAGTAAGTTGAGGTAATTAAAGAGAAATGCTGATTGTTTGAGAAGTTCCTTCAGAAATCTGAGACACAAGAATGCATCTGGGTTCAGGCACTCTACTCTCAAAAAGAACTTGCCCTACCACACAAGAAGTCTCAGTGGCAAACTGCAGGTTAGTAGAGCCAGGCACAACTGGAAACGTAAAAAGACGACTGGAAGCACTGAGTCTGCAAGCTGTCCAATATTTGCCTCTTA